TCAATCCCCCAGCACCACATGCCAGCCAGCCCCGCCCCCTGGTGGGCTGAGCTGGCCACACACACACACATAAATAAATAAAATTTTAAAAATATATATTATCATGAAAACTTCAGGTTTAGTTGCTTTGTTAACACTTCACAATAAATAACTGGGTTTTGGGTTACCCTTTGGATTCATGATCTCTGAAAGTTTCACCCTCAGTGCCCTAAACCATGTCCCCTAAGTTTTATCTGTTCAAACTACAAGCCATTAGCCAAAGGAAGAGTATATAATTTGCAGGTAGAGGCTACACGATAGCTGGAGTTCTGTTATGCAAATTTATAAACAGTATGCATCCCTTCATAATGTGTAGAAATAAGTGGACCCTGGAATACATGGAAGAGTTAAGCCCTCTTATAGAAAGTAATAAGAACTTCTTTGAGCACCTATATGTTATAGGCACTGGACTATGGAATTGAATAAAACACAAGAAGACCTGACTGTCTTGGAGCTTATGAAGGGAGCTGAATATTAATCATAATTAAATAATCAAATACAGATGGCTCTCCATTTCTGTGGTTTCCACATCTGTGACTCCCACCAATCATAGATACAAAATAGTTGGGAAAAAGAGAAAAAACAAAACATTTGGGAAAAAATGTGGGTGTATGCTGAATTTTCCTTGTCATTCCCTAAACACAAAAGTATAATGACTACTTGCATAGCATGTACATTATGCTGTGTAACTGACACTTGTAATCTAGAGATGATTTAAAGCATGCCAACCTGTGCACAGGTTATATGCAAATAATACACCATTTTATATGTGGGCTTGAGCAACCAAGGATTTGGGTCCTCAGGGACCCTGGGACCAACCTCCTGGAAATGTGAGAAATGACTGTATTGCTTAACTGCAGCTATGATAAATAATAGGAAGGAAAAGTACAATTTGTGCTTGAGAAGGTTGAATAAGAATGATGTAGGGGGCCGGCGAGATGGCTCAGTGGAATAAGCACTTCCCTGGCAAGCACAAGGGCCTGAGTTCAATCCCTGGTTCTGAAAAAAAAAAAAAAATCTAATTTCCTTTTTTTTATGAGCAGAATATATTTACTGAGGGAAAGAAAGCTCCTGTCCAACAGAAGGACAAGAGGGGAGCCCCCAAGCAGGTGGTCCCCAATTTTTTATTTTTTTATTTTTGCGGAACTGGGGATTGAACTCAGGCCCTTGTGCTTGCCAAGGAAGTTCTTATTCTAGTGAGCCATCTCCCCGGCCCCTCTAATTTCCATTCATCCAAACTACCCATTCCTTACTAGAGGAACCTTACACCTGAACCTTACTGATTACTTTTGAAAACTCCATTTCTGCATTCCACTGTATGTACCAAAACATTTCATTTTGCTAACTTTTCTTTTATTATTTTATTTTATTATCTTTGGGCAGAACTGGGGATTGAACTCAGGCCTTTGCGAACTTTTCTGATAACACCTCCCTACAACTCTGACTTCTGTGAGTTCTCTGTTTCCACTGAAACCATGACTTCCTTGTCTGTCACCCCTGTGTTTACTTTCTTTTTTTTCCGGAACTGGGGATTGAACTTAGGCCCTTGCACTTGCCAGGAAAGCGCTTATTCTACTGAGCCATCTCCCCGGCCCCTTTTTTGAATTTTTTTTTTTCTGTGTTTACTTTCTTACTCATCAAATTTAGATGTGATGGCCTCGCACTATGAAAGTGTTTAAATGTTTAAAACGTCTCACCTCAGGTGTGATGCAAATCTGTAACCTGAGCTCTAGGGAGGCTGAAGCAAGAGAATCACCCCAAGTTCGAGGCCAGCCTGGGCTATGTTGTGAATTTAAGGCCAGCCTGAATCACAGAGCAAGACTCTGTCTCAACAAACCAAAACGACGAAGTTAATTATTTATTTGTGTGTGTGTGTGTGTGTGTGTGTGTGTGTGGCCAGCTCAGCGCACCAGGGGGCGGGGCTGGCTGGCATGTGGTGCTGGGGGATTGAACCGCGGTCCCCGTGCTTTGCTAAGCTTGCTCTAAGTAGGTGCTTTAGACCACTGAGCCATCTCACCAGCCCCCAGTGAAGTTAATTATTTAGGGAGCATAGCATAAAATCCAGAAGATGTTCAGAGGAATACAATCCAAAGTAAGTCTTCCGTCGTCTGGGGTGGCAAAATGCTCTGTACAGCGCTGTGGTAGGCCTGGGGTTATCAAAGTATAGCCCTTCCTCAAAACTCAGCCAGTGGCCCCTTAAGATATATGTATTTCATTCACAGGGAAAATAGTAAACAAAAAATTGAATGGCAAATGCAAGGCCCTGAGTTTGATTCCTGCTACCACAAAATTTTGAAAAATGAAATTTAGTTAATCGTGTTCATGATGAGGAATTCTGGGGTAATTAAAGTTGTATTTACAATTTATTTATTTGTATTTTATTTATTTTTGTATTTTAGGGAAGGGTCTGCAGGGTGTTCAGGGTCTCCCTACTAGATCAGACTCAGTGATCCACCTTTTTACAGCCTCCCAAGAGCTGGGATTACAGGCATGCACCACCACACCCAGTCTATTTTTTGTGTTTTAGGGAAGGGTCTACAGGGTGTTCAGGCTCTCTCTACTAGATCAGACTTGGAGTGATCCACCTGTTTACAGCCTCCCAAGAGCTGGGATTACAGACGGGTGCCACCACGCCCAGTCTCAATTGCTGTCTCAGTGTGCTCTCAGGG